ACCCCAAGGCAAACAGAAGGAGCTCCAGACCATATATGGCAGCAATACTCCATGCAAGGGTGAATTGTTGATTTATAGATCTGGAGGATGGATTCCGGGGAGAAAAATTTCCTGGCGCGGCACAGGGAGCCAACTTTCCTAGCGATGGACGAAGCAATTGACTTAGTCTTACAATTTGATGTCTCGGTTTTAAATAACACTCAGAGTGTTGATAAGCCGTAAAAACACAACTCAAACCTTAATGTTTACCTAGAACTCAACACTATCTATCTATCTATCTATCTATCTATCTATCTATCTATCTATCTATCTCTCTCTCTCTCTCTCTATATATATATATATATATATATATATATATATATATATATATATATATATATATAATGGCTAGCTATTTCTTTCCTCGCACACGTCTGCCAGGTCGGCTAGCAAATTCCTTTTACAGCCGCTCGATCAACACAGTCCACTCCAACAATGCTAGCGCGCACAAACGTTTCATCTATTCATTTTTTGTTTGTTTTTTTTTTAAATTTCTAAATTAGTTGTTTTACGTTATCGTCAAATTTGCCAAATTTCATATTTCATCATGAAATGGATTCCCGTCAATTATTTAATATATTTTCTGATTATGCGTTATTTTTATAGATACAGTTTATTTTATTAACTGCTCTGTTTTTTGTTTGTTTGTTTTTTTAAATTGAACAGTATTAAATTTCCCGAACGTGTACGTGTAATTAATACTGTTTAATAAAAAAAAACAAAAAGAAAATTAATTAAATAAATTGTATCTATAAAAAAATAATGTATAAACAAAAAATGTGTGTGTGTGTTTTATATATATATATATATATATATATATATATATATAGAGAGAGAGAGAGAGAGAGAGAGACAGACAGACAGATAGAGAGACAGATAGATTGCTAGTACTCCGGCTTTCACAATAAAAATGACGGTGAAAAAAAATATACTTTCTAAATAAACCAAATATAACCTTTTTACCAGGAAAATATTTTCCGGCGAAATTAAGCATATAAAAAAATATTGTTTAACAATAATTTTCCCAACCGTATTCTCAATAAGCATGTAACATTATTCCTAACGACATTGAACGGTACTAACACTAAATATACAACACAGAAAAGTATGAATATCTTTCACTGAAACTAGATGCATTAAAATCATAAACACATCGAATTCGCCCTGCAACGTATAAAAAAATCCACTATCTTGAGGAATCTTATTAAAGAACAAATATATATATATAATTGTGTATTGGGCCAGTAAACCCTCTTTTATACAGGTTTCATTAAAAACGACTGATAAAAAAAAAGAAAAGAAGGAAATTATAAGACTACAAAAAAAAAAAAAAGAAAACTTAACTGCAGTAATTTGTCAGTCTTTTTAAAAAAAACCTATATATATATATATATATATATATATATATATAGTTAAGTTACGAAGAACTTGGTAAACCGAATGGGTAATTCCAAGGAGGATGAAATCCTGAGAGCTCAATGTGTATACAGAGCTAATATTTAATGAAAAACAGACCACTTTAAGGTACCATTACAATAATTTATTTCACCAAAATTCTTTTTAAAGGACTCCGTATCATCAGGTAACACTTCCAACAACGAAATGAAAGGAAAAATGGGATTAGAAATTGATGTGTAGTGTAATTTTTGTAATTTAACAGGGGAGGTGAGAGTTGTAGTTAAAGAGACAAGGTAGAGTATAGGGAGGGGTTAATTTCATATCTCTCTTAAGCATGCTTTATATTGGGGTAGGAGGAGTGACCGAACCTTGACCTATTTAGATGGTTAGCCTAACGGAAATGATATAATTGTTACCTGATGATCCGGAGTCCTTTAAAAAGGATTTTGGTGAAATAAATTATCGTAATGGTACCTTAAAGTGGTCTGTTTTTTTATATAATATATATATATATATATATATATATATATATATATATATATATATATATATATATATAAAGAAATATAGTTTTAAGGTGTGCTATATTTATGGGATAAATTGCTCAGTATCAGAGATAGACCATATGCAAATATAAATGTAAAAGTGAACATTGAAGTCAACACTCAGAGGCGACAGATTTTTGCATGCTAGACGCAATCGTCAGGCCGCGAGTGTTGGATTTTTTCTCGACTTGATGTTTTTTGGTCGTATGTCCGATATAGGTAATTGATTTATGACAAGAAACACAGTCTTGTACTGGACAGTGAAATTGATAGACTATATTGGTTATCGCCAGTTTAGATTTTTTTATTATTATTAACTACAATGTTTTTCAGTTTTCCATTTTTTTAGTTTAGAAGACCGGAGTTTTTTTTTTATACGAGTAGGTAGTAAATACATTGGATTAACATTGAGAAATGGGATTTTGTTATTAACCACGACTTTATATGTAAAGTTTAGTACTGATTTTTTTTTCAAAAGTTGATTTAAGATTTATAATTCCGTCCTTATGTTTTATCAAGAGAAAAATGTCGTCAACGTACCTTGTGTAGATTTGCGGTTTGTCATTTGTTTTAAATGCTTTGTTTTCAATATAAGACATGTAAAAAAAAGTTAAAGAAAACAGGACCTAATGGGTTTCGCGACGTTGAGATAGAAATAAAATCGAAAATATTTATCACCAACCCTTAAAAAAATAACACCAGCACGAACTCTTGGCTTCTAAATTATGATAGTCGATGCCCAGAAAGATATAAAAAATGATAAGAAACTTTCTAAATAGATCACGAGTAAATCCCTCTTGTCAGAGTGGACTAAAACGCATAAAATGGACATTTGTTAACAATAATTTTGCCAACTATATCGTTGATAAACAAAATTATTCTTAAAAAATACACGCCACCAGTAACAAAAATACAATACAACAAAACACCAACATATTTTACTGCAACCAGATGCACAATAATTATAAGCAGGACAAATTCGCTATACGAAAATTCATTAAACGCCATATTTCTTCTGTAATTCGTGTAAAGTTGGTTCTCTGTGTTGCGCCATAAAGTTTTTTCTCGTCTGAGTCCATATTTCAAATCTACAAATCTACCATTCCACCTTTGCATTGAATACAGTTGCTATATAGACATTTTTTCCAAGCGTAGCTTAGATGTGGCGCAAGGCCGAAAGTATAGGGCACCCAGTGAGGATCGAACGCACTACTCAGTCGTAATTGTTCTAGCGAGACAAGCTTGCTTAACCATTACACCACGGCGAGGTGCCCACACCGCTCTTCATCTTGAGGTTCTCGACAAAATCCAAAGACGGATATGCAATGTGATAGGTCTTGACCTGGCATCTCGACTCCAGTCACTTTCTTACAGACCTTACTTCTGTCATTTCTACAAATATTTTCATGGCATCTGCTCTGACGGTCTATTTTCACTGGTGCTCCAACTGCATGGATTTAAGCGTGCTACTTGTTTGGCATCTTGTCCCCACCCTTTTACTGTCGAAACAATTAAATGTCACCAACGCTTCTACTCCAACAGCTTCTTCTCTCGCACTTCCCGACAGTGGAACTCCCTTCCTCTTACTTGCTTCCCTGATAACTATAATCTTAAAAAAATTAAATGTAATGTCAATCAACATCTTGATCATGATCCCCGTTCTTCTTTTTATATTTTCCTCAAACACCCCTCTTTAATCTTACTTTCACTAACTGCAAGCCCTTGCGTGCTTGGGATGAAATGCTTAAAATAAATTACAGAAACTGGAAAGCTGCAAACTTCGTAGTTAATGATCAAAATAACCCCATCAAGCCTAAAGTAGCGATGACCAATGCCGTGTATTACTTTCATTGCCCATTTCGAAACTGTGTTTCTTGTCATAAATCAATTACCTATATCGGACATACGACCACCTCCTTGAGTAGACGCCTCACATGTCACTTATCAGAGTAAAGCGCTATAAAATGACATATATCTACCCATAATCAATAAGAACCCTTAAGAAGATACTGGTCGAAATCATTACTGTCCTTTGTAAATCAAATTTCCGAAAACACCCCATTATAACAGAGGCTCTGTGCATCAAACAACTCTCTCCAAGCCTCAACCTTGATGGAAGTTTTTAAAAATAGAAAGTCACCCACTCAAATTCCAGCCATACCCAGCACACGAAGGCTCGAAATTAACGCTTCTATTATAATTCACAAATAATACAACACACAAAGTCAAATCATGAAAAATAAACACCTAAAACCAACCGCTTTGAAAATAGCTATAGAAGTGTCCGAAAGCGTTTGGGACAATCGATGATGTAGCCAGTTTTTTTTTTTAAACTCTCCCACTCCCACTAAACAAACAAATGTAAGAACGTTGGAAAAACTAAATAAAAAATTAATACAATTTTCCTTGTCCATCATATTTAACGAAAGATGATTAACAGGAAGGTTGCTGCCCGAATATAAATTAATATATATATATATGTGTGTGTGTGCATGTGTGCGTATATATATATAGTTAAACCTACAGAGCCAGACAACCTACCACGGTTTCACCCGAGCGGATCGTCAGGGAAGCTGCCTTCCCTGACGATCCGCTCAGGTGAAACCGTAGGTTGTCTGGCTCTCTAGGTTTAACTAGGTCTGCTCTACTTAGTGTATTGAGCACTTTATTTAGTAATTTTGCTTTACTCGTATCGTTTTTTTTTCTTTGGACTTTGGACTTGCATGCTAGACGATTATTTTCGGCTGTCGTACATGTTCTTTGTTCTTTCTTTTGTTTTATACCATTTTTTCCCCTTTGGTATTGGTTTGATTATTTGCAAATCAAGACACCGAAGGTTTTCCGAACCAGTATAGTTTCTTATACTTATAAGATTACTACTACTACTAATATATATATATATATGCATATGTATGTGTGTGGAAACTGAATGTTACAATTAAGAACGCATTTTTTTAATTTTAATATAAGATATAGTTGAAGGTTTGGCTATTAGAATCCATTAAGAGATCCGAGTATATGATTTTATTCTTGATATATTTTTTTCATAGGTAAGTTAGAATTACCTTCCAATATTTTTTTCATTTCAATTATCTTAAGAAGAATATAAAAAAAATCGTCCTCAAATCCATCCACATATCCCCGAGAATACCTGTTGTGGTAAATTTGAAATTTAATTAATCTCTTTTATAATAAAACATGAATGTAATAGAACTTAGAAAGAAAAAGAAAATTATACGTTTTCAGCTTTAACTGACATTTTAATTGTCTAGAATATTCGGAAAAGCAAAGAACGCTGCAAAAGTTGATTAATGGCGTCTCTAGTCATTTTTTTTTCTAAATCGGAGAAAATTATCATTCAGTTACAAAAGACCTGTGCTCCTTTATAATGAACTTTTAAATAATAACTAATGTTGCTATTAACAAAATTTCGTTAATGGAATATTCAGTATACAGTGTGTATCAAAAATACTTTTACAAAATATGACTGAGGGTTCCTCACAACAAAATAAGGACAAAACTCCATATAAACATATGTCTGCAAATCCTTCATTTTTTGAGTTATTAAGTTTAAAGAAAATTTACGGTAGATAGCGCTGTGTTGCTATGTAGACTAGGTTACATTTGTCATTCATGTACATTTGTGGATAGTTTGTCGTCAACGTCTAATGCATGTAGTGATGAGTTAACTGAGAAGTGTTCTGTTTAAAAATCTCAGGATATTTATATCGTGAGCAGACAAACCTGATTTTTACATTATACCGGGCGAATGGCAATGAATATGCGGCTGCTCGGCTGTATCAGATTGCGTTACCAGACAGAAGGCAACCGAGTCACCCAACCATTGCAGCTGCTTATTGTCGCGTTGCTGAAACAAGATTCGTGACAAAGTTTGCAAAGGTATTTATGGATTGCATCGTGGATTTTACATTTAACAACGTCTACCGTAAACTTTAAACTTAATAACTCAAAAAGTAAGGATTTGTGGATATATGATTATATGGACTTTTGTCCTTGTTTTGGTGCTAGGAACCCACTCCCAAAGTTTGTAAAAGTATTTTTGATACACTCTGTATATACATTAATATGTTATGTTGCGAAGAATATCATGCCGCTTATTTGAGATGATATCTTGTTATTGAGAGGCCTTAATCAGCTCTAAATTAGTTAAGCATCTCACATTGCAGGGTCTTCTTTCAGATAAGCAATATGGCTTTCGCTTCACTGGATCATCTGCTGATGTGTTCACGATTGTTGTAGATGAGAAGGAGAAGTTCGAGTTCTGTTGCTTTGGATATCCCGAAGGCATTTTACATCGTTTAACATACTGTTTTTTTTTCACAAGTTGAAAGGTTACGGTATTTCTGGAGGAATTTTTAAACTGATCAAGTCGCGAAATGAAGGTTGTCTTGAATGGCCACTCTTCTAGATCTTATGACATAAATACAGGGCTATATCCTTGAAACTACGTTGTTTCTAATTTTCATAAATGACGTTCCTGATGGCATCGGTTCTAAAGTCGGTATCTATGCTGATGACACAACTATTTACTCTTGTCTTAATAGTGAATCTGATCTTTTCAACGTCAAATTGACAGCTGATCTTAAAAATGACCTGTAATTTGTTGTTAAATGGGGCAAGGAATAGCTTGTTTATTTTAACGCCTCAAAAACGAAACTGCACTCTTTTACTCATCTGAGACAACCCTTTTTACCTTCTACCAGCATGGCTAATGCTAACCTCCAGGAGAGTGACTTATTGCTTCTTCTTGGACTGTTGAAACTTGACTAATGCATGGAATAATAATACAACACCAAATGTACTTAGAACAAAATGTATTGAAACAAGAAAGTGTACACAATATTTACATATAGTCTATTGTATATTCCTGGTAAGACCGTTCCTGGAGAATGTGTTGACTGAGTCGCAGTCGGGCAGAGTCTCTGGCTGAATCTCTTGATTCCTCCCTCTCTTCCCGGTACCAACCATATTTATATGGTCGGTACTCCACTATGAAAATTAGGTGGATCCTACCACAACATGGACAAAAGTTTTCCTGAATTGCAAAGAGTATATTGAATCAACTGCTAAGTATGAGGCAAATAAAATTGGGTTATTATGTCGGTCTAGACAATATTTCTCGTTAGAATCTATCTTACATATTTATAAGTTTACCATTCGTCCTTGCTTTGAATATTGCTACCACATCTGGTCTGGTTTTTCTGCTATATATTTAGAGATTCTTATAATATATAAAGAAGACTCTGAAATATTATCGGCCCATTTTCATCACGTCTTCAGTCCCTTTGCCACCGCCATGACGTAGCTTCTCTGTGTATTCTCTGTAAATACTTTCACGCTATTTGTTCTAAGGAATTTTCCGCTATCGTACCTACACTTTATGAATTTAAGCATAGTACTAGACTAACGGGAAGGTTTCATCATTTTACAGTTAAAATGGCTGGATGTAACCATATTAACAATTTTTTCTAGCGCTTGTTTAAGTCTCTTCTGCCTTTTCCCCCAGTCAACTTTAAATGCAGTGTCAATCATTATGTTCTGCCTTCTTGTTCCTTTACTGTTCTCTCTTCATAATAGTAGTTTTTCTAATATTCTTTTAACTCTCAGTAACCACATGCGTCCTAGTGGCTTTATTATCTTGTTTAGAGTAGATGAGTACAGAACAGACCATTGTGATCTTTTTCATTTTATAAACTGTTAGATAATTATTTTTTTCTTATGTTTTACGATGTTAAAAAACTTCATGCAAAACTTTTCATTGCCAGTTCAAGAAAGACGTTTGGGTCACTAACACACACAAAATAGAGAATGTTTCATATCGAGAATATTTAACATCGAAAAACAGAAGAAAAAAAAATGATTTATTTTTAATAATATGTGGAAATCTCCACGCTTTGCATGATGAAGGTCGCGAGACCGGAAACACGTGTAGCAAGATTATGGAAAATAAAGCATAATATATTTATAAAAAAAAATCCACATTAAAACCAAAAACGTTTGTGGTTTCTCTCTTCTTTTTAATATATACACTTTTCTCTCGTTGGAGCTACTATAACCTCTCCCCTTCATCTATCTATCTATCTATCTATCTATCTATCTATCTATCTATCTATCTATCTATCTCTCTCTCTATCTATCTATCTCTATCTATATATCCCTCTCTCTCTCTCTCTATCTATCTATCTATATCTACATATCCCTCTCTCTCCCTCTCTCTCTATCTATCTATTTATATCTCTATCTATATATCCCTCTCTCTCTCTCTCTCTCTATCTATCTATATCTATATATCCCTCTCTCTCTCTCTCTATCTATATATCCCTCTCTCTCTCTCTCTATCTATATATCCCTCTCTCTATCTATATATCCCTCTCTATCTATCTATCTATCTATCTATCTATCTATCTATCTATCTCTATCTATATATCCCTCTCTCTCTATCTATATATCCCTCTCTCTCTATATATATATATATATATCCCTCTCTCTCTATATATCCATCTCTATCTATCCCTCTCTCTCTATCCATCTCTATCTATATATCCCTCTCTCTCTCTATATATATATATATCCCTCTCTCTCTCTATCTATCTATCCCTCTCTCTCTCTCTCTATCTATCTATCTATATATATATGTATCAGTTATTCAATCTATTCGCTGATGCACTAATTTGAGTTGCATCTTTTTATCATGTATTTTTAGACAGAAATATATGCAACAACTGATGTAATGCTGTTTCAAAGAAAAACACTATCTCCCTTTTAAATACACCACTTATGCTTGCAAGAAACACGTAACATTATGTACACAGCCTCTGCTTAGTAGATAAACATAATTAAAGCCACATTAATGGTGTAATTTGGAAATACTATCGGGTACAGTCAGTTTTGACGTCAAGTTAAACGCTAATAATTCTTGACAAATAACTTTGCGAATATTTGATTGCACGATTTTCAAATTGGAGCGAAGTTAATTTTCCAGTTTACCTTCTTGCGTTTATGGCGGGATATCTCATCTTGAGAGTAAATTGTGATTGCATTTCTCATGCCATGTCTTTCAGCGTTCAGTAAGGAGATACAATCGGCAAGGGTGGTTCAAATTACATCTCAGATGATTTGTGTTCGCTTTTCACTCCTCCCCATCGGTAAAAGCATGAATCAACATTTCGCAGTAGATACCGCCAAAGATTATTCCATATTGCTGGTAGCAGGTAAGTCAGTACAACCTGGTGCACATTACATGAAGAGATATTTGGACCAGATGACCTTATAAATGCTCTCTTCAAATATATATCTAAAAGGCTGCGATACATTGATAGATAGGTATGAGCAGAGTGCGATATACAGATATATATATATATATATATATATATATATAGAGAGAGAGAGAGAGAGAGATAATTAGCAGCATGAGCTAGGTAGGTAATTAGCGAGATATATATAAATATATTGGGATAGATAGATAGATACTAAATCAGATAGATAGATAGATAGATAGATAGATAGATATGGACTAATTCAGATAGATATAGAGATATGGAATAAATTAGATAGATAGATAGATAGATAGATAGATAGATAGATAGATAGATAGATAGATATGAAGAGTCGCAGGTAGATATCAATAAACTGAGATAGGTAGTAAGATATGAAGTGGCTGATGATAAATACATGTCAATATACTGGTATATATATATATATATATATATATAAATATATATATATATATATATATATATATATATATATATATATGACGAGGCCGAGATAACTATGAAGAAACTGTGAGATAGATAGATAGATAATGACAGGTCTCAAAAAAATAGATATATAATGACAGGTCTCAAAAAATAGATAGATAGATAGATATGAAGTGGCTGATATAGATACAATTCAATATACTGGTGCATATATATATATATATATATATAATGAGGCGGAGATAGCTACAAAGAAACTGTGAGATAGATAGATAGATATATAGATAGATATAACACGGCTGAAAGAAAGAGATAGATAGATAGATAGATAGATAGATATGACACGTCTTAAAAATTAGATAGATTGATAGATGGATAGATATGCAAATCTGAAAGAGATAGATAAATAGATAGATAGATAGATAGATAGATAGATAGATAGATAGAACCAGACAGAGCTAGCCAAAGTTAAATAAATAAAATATTTTCCTATTATTTAATTGCATGACTACTTAATTCCTATGTTATGACCCAGCGATAAAATATGATATATTTTCTATTTGAAAATCGTCTTTCCTTCTCTTCTTTCCTTTATAAATTGATGGATTTTCCCCAGTCGCTCACTTTCCAAATAGAATTTAATAATCTTTCGGAAAGACATGATTAAAAATAGTGTTTAATATTCATCATCCGTCAGATTTTTATTGCCACAACTAAGAACATCGTCATTTCACAGAAAGAAACAGCAATTTATAAGCAGTAGCCTAAACTAAGAAAAAAAAAGTTGGATTAAAAGGTAAAAATCACTAGGTCAATTAAATTATACATGAAAAATAATGAAAAATATATTTTGGTAAATTTTGGTTTTGTTTCCCGAGCACTAATATCCCTTAGAATTTTTCCCAAATCGACATAATTCCGTGCAAATGTACATGCTGAACTCAAATTAACAATTAAATAATGAAGAAATCTTACCGTTTTGGAGTTATGGACAAGAAAAAAATCGGATTTCTTGTTGGTCATTCGTCGGCCATTACTGCCTTCATATTCACTAATTTACTGCGTAGTACCTACGCAGGCGTAATCAGAAAATTTGGCCTATTTACTTATTTTACAGACTTTCCTTGCAGACAAAAAAACAAATTAAATATTAACACAGAACCTTTTTTCCGTTTTGAATAGCAAAAAAAATAAAAAATAAAAATTACATTTCTTTTACCCCATATGTCTATGCATGATATATCTCTCTATGTCGGTGTCTCCATAGCTATGAATGTATATAGTGTGTATGTACATATGTATGAATGTATTGTCCAAGTTCGTATATGATTGTCTTACATTTTGATACAATCATTTAACACACACACACACACACACACACACACACACACACACACACACACACACACACACACACACACACACACACACACATTGTGTCACATCTAAGCCGGGTTTAGAAAATCTCTTGGGCACCTCGACGTGGTATAATGGTTAGCAAGCTTGTCTCGCTAGAACAATTGCGACTGAGTAGTGAGTTCGATCCACACTGGGTGCCCAATACTTTCGGCCTCGTGCCACATCTAAGTGTGTACTGTTATAATAGGAAAGAACTGTTCTTTATTTTTAAAAGCAGTGTTCGATACTGAAGTAGAGCCTAGATTATAATTATTTAAAAAAAAATATGATTCCATTGCGACATAGAAATTATTGTTTCGAAACTGGTCAGCAGTATTCAGGTTTAATTTCAATATTAAACCCTAACTAACGGGGTGGCAGTCTCATCCTCAGGCTATGTTTGGAATAACTATGCTATGGAATGTTTAACTCATTTATAGTTTTGAAATGGGGGTTTGTTTTTCATTATCAAGGGGTCACTGCTTTGATGGAAGTAAGGGTGTTTGTGATATGTCACGTTTTTCAAGTTGTGTAAGGTTGGGTTGTTTTTTTTTTTTGTTTTTTATTTTGTTCCGATTACAATGGCTAATCTTACCCGACTTCCTGCTAAAACTCTAACTGATTGATGTTTTAGTCCTGTTGTTTTTTTATTACTATCTGCTAAAACTTTAACTAATTGATGTTGGAATTCCGGTAGTTTTTGGTGTTTATTTGTTGATGATTCCTTAAATGGGCTTCAAGATTAAGATAAGGTTGTGTTATCCCGCTCCCACCCTTACACTGTAGAAACTTTTAAATGTAGCCGTCTCTTCTACTCCAATAGCTTCATACCTCGCACCTCTCGCCTGGGGAACACCCTTCTCAATTACTATTTCCCTGAGAGCTATAATCTCCAAATATTCAAATGTAATGTCTATCGACATCTCCAGTTACCTTGATCTATCCACTACCCTTCTCCTCATCCTTTCTTCTATCACTTCTATCCGCTCTCGCTCCAAATCTTCTGCAACCCTCTGCATCCTAGTGGCTTTACGCCTTGCTCAGTAATGCTTAAACATATAAATATATATATATATATATATATATATATATATATATATATATATATATATATATATTATTATTATTATTATTATTATATTATTTACATTATTCGGACTATAAGTCCTCATATTTGTCGGCATATTTATCACTATGATAAATATGGCGACAAAGATGAGGACAATAGTCCGAATAATGTAAATAATGTACATCATACCTCGTCTCAGAAATATATAAGGCGTATCATTAACCAAATCTTGGTACCAAATATATCACTGATTGAGTGACTGACTATCTGTCGATCGATCGATCGATCGATCTGTGAATGTCATGTAACAATATGTATCTATCTATCTATCTATATGAACGTAACGAGTTATTTTCTGTCGACATTTATTCTAAACTGTGTCTTGAGCCAATCTTCGTAATAAAATTACCCTGTAGTTACTAGAACATCAACGTGGCTTTTATCTGGATTCGAACCGTGTTCATTGTGGTATTTGGCAGGACCCAGATGATTAATAGTGTCGCAGCCGGTTTTGGTGTATCAGCAAGTCAAGTGAATTCTAATCAAATAAGACAGGCAGAAACAGATAGAAACACCTTATTGACACAAATGAACACACACGCACACGCATATCTATCTATCTATCTATCTATCTATCTATCTATCTATCTATCTGACACTATATATATATATATATATATATATATTTTTATATATATATATATATGACATAGCGATATATAAATTTGTATATAGCAAGAACAATATTAGGGGAATATGCATGACAAAGTGGAAAAAGTTTTCATGTGACGCGTTTCGTCCTTTACAACTTCATCGGACTAATCTCGACAATTTCATTTAGATTCTTTTTCTTTCCAATATGTGTTTTTAGATAACCCACAGTTTTTTGATAATAGAAGATCTCCCAGGAATTATGAAATGTAAGAACTAGGCCGAAAATTTATTGTAGATGACCTTGCGATAAAAGAACTCTCTAAAATCATCTTCTTTTCTTTCTTTTTTTATGTACCAATGTCCTTTCAGGACGGAAGCGATCATGACTCTCCTCCTCCCTCTATCCCTTGCAGCTCTCAACAAGTTCCTTCCGTCTGCCACCTCCTCCAGATCACGTTCTGTCATCCACTTGCTTAAAACCGTCAGGTATGTCATGTGTTGTTTTTCCTTGTGTCTCTTTCCCTCTATTCGACCCATGAGTATCCGATTCTCCAGAAGTGCTTTCTTTACTATTTCCCAACCTACAACCCCTTTCCCCCTATCGCTATTTCCATGGAAAGTATTCAGACGAACTACATTGGACCAGTTCTAACCTTGACGGCTAATCCCCACCATGCAAGGCACACTGTAACAAACCACCCTGATTTCATAGGTATTCGATTGGTGAGATGTAAGTTGCATTCGAGCAGCTTCTTCGAACGCCTACTTTGTGGAGCCGGCTTCCAACAGGATTCTTACCCTGATTGGTGCAATCTCAACCTGTTTAATTTTAGGGTTTTAG